GAAAATAGAAGGGTTTAAAGTCTGTTTCAGTCAAATGGAAAAATTCAAAACTTTTCATTTGTACCCACTTCTTAACAAGCATTCATATTTATGATTGTTAATATTTTCTTAAAGTTGTCAAGTTCAAATATTTAACAATGCAATAGGGGAATTCCTATAGATATTTTATTTTCAAACAACCCGCCATGAACTTAATCATTAACTATCAAGATTCATCAAAATACTAAAATTTGAAAACCATGAAAATTTTACAGGTTAAAAACTACTACTAATAATAATTACTACAGGCATGTAGAAAAATAAACATCACTAAGTTGACCCATAAACCTAACTTTTACTACATGTTACTAATACTAAAAAGGGAACTGTGCCAAATAAAACAAAAGTAAAACTATTAGAAATCAGAAGGGGGGGGGTATGCTAAGTATCTTGTAAGTAAAAAGGTTAATTTCCAAAAAGATGTTCTCCACCAACATCAATTAGAGAACAATCAAAAAAAGATATAAAAATAGGGTGGGGTTAGAATTTTCAAGACAAACAGTCAATCCATACTGGGCTTGATAGATTTAGCAGAACCAGAAATTAATGACTTATAATTGGTGAGAAAGACTAATTAAGTGCCAAGACTTTTTCATATAGATTATAAGTAATTGTCAAAAACCAAATACTAACAAATTAAAAGTCAGTAACTGGATATTGCTTTAAATTGCTTTGGAAAGAGATTTCAGGGAAAGTTAGATTCATGCCTTACCCTAGGAGTCCAAGGCTAATATGAACTCAGAATGAAATTTTTTTTTTATATTTTTCTCATTGAAAAAGGCATATTTCAATTGTAACAAATTTAGTACAAGTATTAAGAAAATTGAACACAGATTGCAGTAAAGGTACTTTTGCTCAACACCATAAAATGCTACAGAAGTAAAATGTTAATGTGAAAACTTGTATAATATTCTTGAACATCAGATTTACAAGTCAGGTAGATGTCACGCACGGTGTGCAACTAATTCAAAAATATCTCAACTATCATCAAACATTTTCCCAGTTGAAGGATTAAAAATGGTATCAAACAAATTGACTTTTGTGGTCTTAAAACCAATCGTTCATCAGACCCTGTACATTTGTGCCACAAAATCACAAAGAACCTTAATAAAAAATAAAGACATCCAGCAGCAAAAATGGAAAGCACATGTAAATAGAAAAGAGAATAATGATATAAACAAGATGTTGATTTTCCACATGACTTTAAACAAAATGTTAGGAAGGAAACTCCCATCAGTATTATAAAAAACAAGAACATGGGAATTGAGAAAACTAATTTGCTGAAAAACGGTTTCATGATTAATTTTAAAAAAAATATTGACCAACAGTAAATAATTCTGTTCAGTCAATAAATGCCAAATGTTTCCTGTATGAAAATGGTTAATCTCACCATTAACTTGAGTCTAATGTTTCTACCATATACCTCTGCAACCATGATCTTATCATTGGCCTAATAAATATATGTGGATTGTTCTGAATATTGTATCTGCAATTGTTTATTTTCCACCCTACAACCGGAAAAAAAAAAAAAAATCACAAGCTACCCCCACACCCCAGTTCTATTGCTATTTCTATGGAAAGTCCTCCAACAAACTCCACTCCTTAGTTCCACCAATTCTAACCTTCAAAGCTAAAATCTGCCATGCTACACACACTATAGTAGAAACCAGCCTCATTCCCTTCATATTCCATTGGTGAGATGCAAGTTCCACTGGAGCAGCTTTTTCCATTGAACCACAGTTTTATGGAATAGACTCCCAAAAAGAGAATCTTAACCTGTTCGTCTTCTATCATTAAATGTTATCTTCTGCACATATCCGCATAAACTATGCCTCTTACTCTGTAATGCTCTACCCAGATTGGCTCTTGGGCCTTTTTAAAAAAATTATAAATTTGCAAAGTCTTATTTTCTAATGAAATAATTTTTGTGTATCTTCAAAACATCTATTCCTAAATCATAAAGTACTTCACCATAGATATCTGATAGATTCCAAGAAATACATTTAAAAATATAAACATTACATACCCCCCACCCGGTGCCCAGACTACGTGAATTTAAGCGAGCTACTAGATTGGCATCTAGGTCCCACCCCTTTACTGTTGAAACAGTTAAATGCAACTGCCACTTCTCCTCTTAAAGTTTATTTTCTCACACCTCCCACATGTGGAACACCTTTCCGTTTAATTGCTTCTCCAATATCTGCAATTTCCAAAAATTTAAATGTAACATCAATCACCAACTTCTATCTTGAATCTCATTCATCTTTTATCCTTTCTCAATCCCCACCCCCATTACCCCCTTTTCTTTTCTTCTTTTTCTCTCTCACCTTCACTTTCTGTAACCGCCTGCATACTAGTGGCATTCCCGCCTGGGGTGAAATGATTAAAAAAAAACAAAAAAACATTCACCCAACCAAGGACAAGTAAAGAAATGAGTGAGACAGCCACTAAATTAGACACATTGTCTATCACATAGAGAAAATAGACTTAGAGGCATTTACCTCGAAATTACACAGGTCAATAACCCCCCTACCTATCACCATTTAGGTACTCAATAACCACCATCACATGTAGTAAATGGTCAATGGAGTCAGTCAACAACTCAATAAGAAACCGTGGATAAAAACTCCGAACAAATTATTTTCAAGAGCAAGTTTAGTGAATCTTAGAATATTTATCAGGACCTATATTTAGCCACTGACAATTTTACTTTTTCCACAGAAAAGATATGGCAGTTAGAGAGAAAGTAACAGAGTCAAGCAGAGAAATGCAAAGAATATTTTTTCAAGTTAGGATATTTCTTGAAAAAAAAAAAAAAAGTGGGAGAATACAAAGTTCGCTCCTTCCAAAAACGAAAAAAAAAAAAAAAAAAAGAAAGAAAAAGTAAATAAAACCAATATTTGAAACTAAATTTATCTACAATTTTCGTATAGATTGAATTTGATAAAGCACAAAAAAAAACAAAAAATCAACTTATACGTGAACTTAAAGAACAAAACTAAAAAATAAATTTTTTTTTAGCAACTTTTATTGAAATTACTTTATAGTCGCGAATAATACGAGAATAAAAACAAAAAAGAGAATTTCACTTATTTTCTCTACTTGCAAGTTTTGGGCTATTTAAATGTTTTCTACTGAGTAAAAGAGAAATGTTTATTATTGGAGAGGAGGGGGAGTAATACATTTTTGATTAGCAACAAACAAATCGATTACTTTTTAAAACAAATCAAAAATCCCAAGAAAGGATTAATAAGTTTTAATAGTCATCAAAATCAAGTAAAACTACAAGCAAAAGTAAAAAAACGTTTTAAAAATGAAGTTACCAAGATGTGCTTTTATCTTTTTTATTTACTTTTTTAGTTTCTTTCGTTTTTTTACCATGCCTTACATCACAAGATTTTTTTTTTACCATTCCTTTTTTTTTTTTTGTATTTGTAATGATTTCCCCACCACCCATCAAATTCAAAATAAAACTTAAAATTTACATGATGAGGGTATCCACGACCAACCAAAGATCATGAGTAAAAAAAAAAATTAAATATTATCATTTGAATCAGAATGTGTTAAAAAAAAAAAAAAAAATTAAAAAGGTGGGGGCTGTTTAATTATAATTTTATTTATTTAATGGCATTTTTAGGCATGATTTCCATATGATGTTAAAAAAAAATTATTATAAATAGTTGAACATAACTCTTTCTCTTAACCCCCCTCCAGATCCAACAAATTTATTTTTTAATTAATCGAGTGGATGCGTAAAAAAAAGTTGGGTTTTTTGGGGGTTTTTTTTTTTTTCACTTTAATTTTTTGTCAACACTTACTTTCAAGTTCGTTCTTTATTAAATATTTTCCCATAAAAGTAGTGAAGTCTTTAGAATAAAGTACAAAAGTACATAAAACATATACAAGTTTTAATTCTTCAAGACTTTTAGCTTAAAGGAAAATTAAAACAAGGAAAAAAGTTTTCAAGATATTTGTAATTTAAAGAGACTATTTCTTTGCTTTTCAACAAAGAAAGGATATTTAAAAAAATGTCTGTGGGATTTTAAATGAACCATGAACTTCTTAACAACAGAAGACTAGTAAAAGTAAATTTTATTTTGAAACCTAAATTAAAGTAAACTAAAAAACACATTCAAATACTATTATTGTTTTGATCACAAAAATGAATTTTAAAGATAAAATTACAAATAAAATAAAAATAATTTTAAAAAATACTAGAAAAAAATGTGCTTGTGCAAGAATTTGACAACAAAAAGGGAATATTTTAAAAAAAGTTATTTTTTGTTTTCTTAAACTGGAAATTTCGGGTTTAAACTTTTTTTTTTTATTAGGAAAAATAATAAGCAATGCAAAGATTTGTATTTTTTTATTAGAATTTACTTCTGACAATTACAAACAAGCCGTTATTTTTTCATGGAAAATAAATGTTTTAAAAGATAGTATGTCTTAAACTATTCTTTCTTAATAAGTAAAATGAGACTAGAGTTTATTAAATTAAAATCTGTTTTATAAATAACACAGGTAAAATTAAAAATAAAGTAATTAAGTCTTTTTTTTTTTTTTTAAACACCCAGGTGGTAAAGAAGTTCAATGATGTGACATGGACGAAAAACAGAAACAATTCGAGCATTGTAAAAAGATAAATAAATACAGAATTAATTAATTAATTACAGTGGCTGTTAACATATCGAATAATAAATTTTCAAGTATAAAATTAGATTTTAAAAAAGGAAAAATTATAAAGTTACATGAAATAAAATATGCTTCTTCTTTTTCTTCATTTATCTCCCTGGTTAAGTATTTTTCAGGTATTTCCCGGTGTTCGACAGAAAAACTAAATACAGTTTATTTACTGTTGATTATTTGGTTCTTTCCTTACTTGCGGCATTTTCTTTTTTGTTTTACCCTTTTTTATTTCGTGGAAGTATTTTCTTTTCTTCTTTCTTTTTTCACCTACTTACCGTAAATTGTTCGCAATCGCCTTTCGTTAACATCCACATGACTTCGACTCGCCATTTTCGTTGCGGAGCTCTCTCATAAAGGAGGACAGAAAAACCCTATGTGTCACGTGACACGATCTCATTACCGAAAAGAAAAAGAAAGATGCCGATGAGGAAGACGGAAGATGGCATAGCATGGCTTGGCGGGTAAACGAAATAAAAAAAAAAAATAAAAAAAAGTAGAAAGCAACATCACATTTGTATGACACAGTGTCAACATTATAAAGCGCTCCTTCATTATCTCTCTTTCTACTAGGCATCAATCATTAGATGATGTCTAAAAAAATCTATAAATGAAATTAAATATTGTTTTAAAAATAAATGAATATTTAATTTATTTCTTTAAGAATTTTATTCAGATTTGCTCATTTCTAAACAAGTCCATAATCCTGGAGTACTCCTGTACACAAAATATACCAAACTTCCTACATATTATATATTTTGCAAAGGATAATTTTATGATGTTTGAAGACTTTCAAATAAAACAGTGTCATAAGCAATTGCAAATGAAAAAAATTAATGAAAGTATCAAAAAAAGATAAGAGGTTATTTTCATTCTTTCAATATATATATATATATATATATATATATATATATATATATATATATATATATTATATATATATATAGATTGATAGATATGCATATTGAAGACAACAGAAATATTTTGTTGTGTTGATTAATTTTGTTGATCAACTTTCACAGATATGGAGAAAATTATATCTACAAATTCTGTTTCCATCAACCAGAAACTGTTCATCTATCTACCTATTTATCTATGTATCTACCACACACTTTGTGTGTATATATATATATATATATATATGTATATATATATATATATATATATATATATATATATATATATATACGATTATTATTTATTCAAAAATTATACCATAAACATGTTATAATATTTGGTCTATGCTATCTTGACTACTCATTTAAGAATTGCATTTTTCGTTATTGTAATTTTATTCTGTCTAAAATCCTATACTTGAACATATATATATATATATATATATATATATGTAAATATTTCAAATATATATATATTTTTTATGCGCGGTACTTAATGATAAACACTCAATATCAGTGATAGAGCTAACATAATAAATAGTATAGATATGAGTTCATGACTGGATTTCACACATTTGAGATCATCAGATGATATGTATATATACTCATCATATTTTCATTGACGCATGTTTCACAGAATAATCCTAAAATATTACCTTTCTTTATTTTTATTTTAATCCTCTCATACTCACATATCAATATCTTAGTGTAGGTACTAAATTTATTTATTTATATTTATCTATCTATCTATCTCTCTCTCTCTCTCTCTATATATATATATATATAAAATATATACATATGTATATATATATATATATATATATATATATATATATATATATATATTAATTAGTAATCATCAGTCACTTGTATATATATATATATATGTATACTTATATATATGCATATATATATATATATATATATATATATATATATATATATATTTATATATATATATATATATATGTATGTATGTATCATTCATCTGATTTTTTGTAATGTTTTTTAGTCTCGTTTCATCATCTTTGAAATTATCATTCATCTGATTTTTTATAATGTACTTAAATCTAGTTTCATCTTCCTTGAAATGATCATACATCTGATTTTTTTATTATGTCCTTAAGTCTAGTTTCATCTTCTTTGTAATTATAATTCATCGGATTTTTTATGATGTTTTCAAATCTAGTTTCATCTTCTTTATCATTATAATTCATCAAACTTTTTATAATGTTTTAAGTCTCAATTTTCTTTTACCTTGTAATTATCATTCTTCTGATTTATTTATAATATCCTTAAGTCTATTTTCATCTTCTTACTAATTATAATTCATCTGATCTTTATCAATAAATGCAGGATGAGTGTCTGTAACGAATGCACGGCCGCAATTTTCAATGGATTTGCACCAAAATTTAAAGGCAGATGCTCCAAGTTAGCTGAAAAGTCAAGACTGACTTTGCATTTCCCAACTCCCATCGATAGTGGAAATAATCGATTTTTCATGCTTCTACAGCAGTTTTCATGTAGTTTGTGGCTATTTTCTACTGGCCAGAGTGAGAGCCTATAGCTGGCTGCCACGAATAGGCAGGAAGATTCTATTGGCCAGCATGAGAGCCAACAGCTGACTGACACGAATGTTAACTAGCATGCAAAAAAAATCGATAGCTGCATTCGTCACAAGTGGGAAAAATTTAAATCTGCATGGCACTTTACTCCAGTTGGCTCATTCGCTTGCTTAAACTCAATGTTGATTCTGATTCCGCAGAACTGGGTTGTGTGTAAAAAAGTATTTGTTGTTAACATTCTTTTTTCATTTGGTTTTTCCAGTTACGAGTTCTTTTTTAAAGCTGATTGTTTTGTGTTCATTTTGTTTAGTTCTTTTTCGTAACAGATTTAATGTTTAGTATAGAGCTTAGAAAAAATTTGCAGTGTGAGATAGGCAAGAAGTAAGGCATGTAGCAACATCAGCACGTCAAATGGCACTCCTTTAAAGGCAAGGAAGGGCTAAAATATTTTAAGTCAAGTGATAGCAATTGCTGTATGTCGTACGATTTTTGAATCAAGCACGGGCAACGCTAGGCCATGCTGCTAGTTTTTTTAATGTTTTAAGTCTAGTTAAAATTGTTTGTAATTATAGTTCATCTGATATTTTTATAATGTTCTTAAGTCTAATTTCATCTTCTTAGTAATTATAATTCATCTGATTTTTATAATGTTTTTAGTCTCTTTTCATCTTTGTAATTATCATTCATCTGATTTTTTTATAATATCCTTAAGTCTAGTTTCATCTTCTTTGTAATTATGATTCACCAGATTTTTTATGATGTTTTAAGTCTAATTAATGTTCTTTGTAATTATAATTCATCTGATTTTCTTAAAATATTCTTAAGTCTAGTTTGATCTTTTTCGTAATTATCATTCATCTGATTTTTTGATAATGTTCTTCAGTCAAGTTTCTTGTTATTAGTATTTATACTTCAACTGATATTTTTATAATGTTGTTAAGTCTAGTTTCATCTTCTTAGTAATTACCATTCATCTCATTTTTTTTTATAATGATCTTCAGTCTTGTCTCATCTTTGTAATTATAATTCATCTGATTTTCTTAAAATAGTCTTAAGTCTAGTTTCATCTTTTTTGTAATTATAATTCATCTAATTTTTTTATAATGTTCATAAGTCTAGTTACATCTTTTAATTATAATTCATCTGATTTTTTTAATAATGTTATTAAATCTAGTTTCATATTCTTTGTAATTACAATTCATCTGATTTTTTCATAATATCTTAAGTCTAGTTTCATCTTCTTTTAATTATAATTCATCTGATTTTTTATAAAAATATTAATGCTATTGTTTATGCTTGTATTCTCATCTTTGCTATTAGCTACCTTAGATAGAAAAAGCCTTATATGGAAATCCAATAATAATATGAACATTGACACAATATGTTGACTATGTTTTGAAAATAAAACATTCCGTAATATTAAATACATATATACAACCGCTATTTCAAGTTTACAATTAATATATATCAACCTTGAGAAATTAGACTAATTATTTATTACAAGAAATATAAAACTGCCACTCTTATAGTTAAAAATAATAATTCACCTCATAGATCAAATTTTAAAAGAACAAATATTATTCACGAATTTAAATGTCCATTAAGGAATTGTGTTTTTAATCACTCAAAATCCATAAACAATTATATTGGCCAAACAACGACATCTTTAACAAGAAGACTCTCACTCCCTCTTTCTGACCATAACTCAATTAGGTTTCATTTAAATATTCATAGAGACCTACTGGACCCTTTTTGCAACATAATTTTTGATAATACAAATATAATAGCATTGTCTACATTTAAAGAAATGCTAAAAATAATGGTAGCCTTACTAATAAAAACATAAAACCAAAACTCAATAATATCAACTATAAACATGAACACAATATGTTAACTGTATTTTGAAAATAAGAAACTCTATAATATTAAATACATACATACAAGAGTTATTTCCAGTTGACAGTTAATATATTTTATACTTAACAATGGCTAAATGTATAACCAATGCACTCAGAAAAATATAACATTTGGATAGTTTTTGTATAATTTATCTAATGAAATGAAAATAATTATAAGATCAAACGAGAAATTTAAAAAAAAAAAACCTTAATCAAACACCTTGTCTATCATATTTTTAATGAAGCTTGCAAAGAAAATTTTTAGTTCAAAAGCAGTAAATCAACTTTGTTAACCAGATGTTTCCTTCGTTAAAGTTAATATATATGTGTGTGCGTCTGTTTAATTAGACTGCAATTATTCTTTCAGACATGTCTTATTAAAGAATAAAGACATTTTGTTTCTATTGTGTTTATTCATCTTCCTCTTCAAATTGTGAATGTCCATTTATTGATGTCATTGAGAAGAATCATTTGCAACTTTATAGAAACTTATTTCTAATAACGGCAATAATATTAAGATTGTATGAGAAAAAAATTATAATGTTGGAATTGTGTAAAAATTAATATAGAAATTATTTAATAAAAAATACTAAATTGTAATCAGAACTAATTAAGAAAATTAAAGTGTTACTTATACTGGCGTGGGCCTTAGGGTTAAAAATGAACAGCTGACTTCCCCAGACCAAGAGGGTCTATGAAGGATGATGATGACAAGGAAACACACTGGTAATTTTAACAAAACAAGGTAAGGAATTTATTCACGAATCTATACTCTTGTATATGGATCGTGCCAGGAAAATAAATCAGAATCCGTAGTTTGAACGTATTGTCATGAATAGGAAATGTTCATACAACAAACAGGACCGTCTTGAATGTATTATGGGCCCCTTATTTATTTGTTTATTTGTTTATAATAATATTCGTACACACTTCAACAAAACTGGTGTTAAAACATTAAAACAAGCTGTACAGTA